CCCATCTATTTTTAGCTTCACCTAGCATGCATTTAAGTCCTCCCAAGATGACTTTGTTCACGGCTTCAACTTGCCCGTTTGTTTGCGGGTGTTCGACAAATGTGAAATGCTGCTTGGTGCCGAGCTTAAAGAAGAAATCTTGGAAGCTTCGGCTGGTGAACTACGCCCTGTTGTCGGTTGCGAGTGCTTGTGGTATGCCGAACCAGACGAGTACGTTTTTTTTTGTAGAAACAAAGTATGTTATGCGACGTGATTTTGGCGAGGGCTTCAGCCTCTATCCATTTTGTGAAGCAACCGACAACGACGATCAGGTACTTGTTCTGGTACGATCCTCGGGTTTAAGAGGAAACAAGGATTCCCACAGACGGTGTCACTGATCGTACCTAACCAGAATGACCTTTAGTGGCCCACAACAATTGAATTGTACGACTCTTGAAGTGAATGAGGGGTACCTGGAAGACGCTCCAATGCTAAAGTAAGATTCAGAGCAGAATGCAGGCAAAGAATGAGATAGTGAATGAATGAATATCTAATCCTCTAGTAAAAGAGGGTATTTATAACCCCCAATGTTGGGTCAAAATCCCCACACTGGACCGGATGAGCAGGCCCAAAATGGAGATTTCCAGGACCTATGTGTGTAGTGAAGACCAGCACGCGGTCTCCATCTTGGGTCAACTGCCCCGAAAGACCAGGGATGTGAAGGACGCGGTCTTCACGGAATTAAGCAAATCCTATGATATTCGGGGCACATCGTGTCGAGCATCTGAAGAAGACCGTATCTGACTGACATGTGATGAGGACGCATCCGAAGGGCACGAGGAGGATAAATCCTCGGGGACCTTCCTAATAGTCGAGCTGACAAGGATACTGCCTGATAGAGGGTCAAGGACAGGTCTAACCTTGCTGGGCTTCCCATGCATCATAGCTGGATTTGACCTTATATGACATTTGAAACAAGTGCGGACCCAATCTAGAACATATTCTAATGTATATTAAGAAAAAATCTATTTGATCTTACGCATAATATCAAAATGCTTTATTCTATAAAAAAATTTATTTTTTATTTTTTAAATTCAATAAAAATATCCATTGGAAACTTTGATAATAATAATAATAATAGTAATAATAATAATAATAATAATTATTGATAATAATACTAATAACAACAAATTTTGAAAATATAGAATATTGAAAATTAATTCAAAATTAAATGAAGTATTTAGATAAAAGAATCAAAGTATTATTAATAATTTTTAAATAATTTTATAATACTTTCTAAGATAATTATATTATGATAAAAATTTAATTATACTATGATCAATTCACAAAATTGTTAAGTTGTTAGTAGAAAAAAATTAACGTATCTAATATTTTTTAAAATTATATATTTATATATAAATAAAATAAGTTTAAATAAAAGTTAAAAAATTATTTTATATAGGGATAATTCATATATATTTTAAAGACAAATTTTCAATTATATATATATATATATATATATATATATATATATATATATATATATATATATATATATATATATATATATATATATATATATATATATATATATATATATATATATATATATATATATATATATATATATATATATATATATATATATATATATATATATATATATATAATGCTTAATGATTTGAATAAGCAAAAAAAAAAAAAATACTGTACATTCGTAATTGTTATAAAATATAATTTTAATTTATTTTAAATTTAATTTCTTTTTTAATAAAAATTATGGAGTACTATTAATAATAAATAATTGAAATTTAGTTCTTACATTTAATCTAATAAAATATAAATAATCAATCTCACATATCATTAAATTTTTTTAAAATAAAAGAGTACAACATCTTTTTGGCCTCATACGTTTGATTGGGGAGAACATTATCCTCTGGTAGCATATCTTTCACAAGGGGTAATAACTCTGAAACTTTTATCCGACCATCCATTGTCCGCCTTTAAGTTGTACAACTTTAATACCGCAGACAATCTTGTGAATTTTGTACAACCATTATACAACGGTTTCTCTGCACCGCTTACCAACCTCTCGAACATTTTGGGACAATCATTAAGATCTTCTTCAAGCGCTTCTGCAATCTCTTCAACTCGATCATAATCGTATGTATTTGTGCCATTGTCGTTTGAAGCATACGTCCTATTATCCCCCAATTCATCATTCCCGTCACTTTTCTCACCATGCATATTCCAACATGTATAACTTCTATCAATTCCATACCGTATTAAATGCGATGCCAACTGAACCGCGTCAACCCGATTCCCATAACAGCAACACAAACAAGGACATGTCATTCGACCGGGGTCTTCGGCATGCGCAACAGCAAACTTAACGAATTCCGATACCCCGTTCTCGTACTCTTTCGGCAATCGATTGAAATACATCCATGTCTTATCCATGGTTTACGGTTTCTGAGTCAATCTGAGCTAAATGATAAATTAGAAAACAAAACCAATACTCAAAACTTGCACTTGCTCTTGCACAACCATATAACAAAACCAATACTCAATACTTTTCACTAAATTCATTTTATTCTATCAACTACTTTAGTACACAAGTATAACACAAGAAACCATAAACAAGAAACTATCATTGCTCAAAATCAATCATAAAAAGCACACGAAAAAAACAATATATTAATAGAGTTAACAATATATATATATATATATATATATATATATATATATATATATATATATATATATATATATATATATATATATATATATATATATATATATGGCTACCTTTATTAAATATTTTGTTACGCTCTCTATTATTTCTCTCTTAGCTTGTTTTACCAATGCACAACTTGTTAATATAAATGATGTTTGATAAAATAAAAAGCACATGAAAATGTGTTGTTTTCTACTAATATTTATTCCATGAAGTTGTAAAATAATCTATATTCATAATATGTGAGGTATTAGCCAGTAGCCACACAAATAAGTTGAAAATTAAGATGAGTTGTCAGTTCAAATATGTAACAATTTCTAAGAATTATTAGAAGATAGTCACATCTTTATTCATACAAAACTATTCTAGAAATTAGAATCAAAGCAAGCATAGAACAATTTATTCATACAAAACTATACTAGAAATTGAAATACCTAGAACTGAGTTGTGTAACTTTGTGTTGTATATTGTTGTGATTTCTGATGCAACAAACTTTGTGATTTCACCTTGCGTTTCTCCTGTGGCAAGTGGTGGTCGTTGTTCTGATGAAAGAGTACTGATGAACGGAGGCAGAGGTCCTGATGAGGGAGTCCTGAAACTGCCCCCGGTGGTCCTGAAACTGCCCCCGGTGGTCCTGAACAGGAAGACGGAGGCAGAGGTCCTGATGAACGGAGGCAGAGGTCTTGAACAAGAAGACGGTGGCAAGTGGTGATGGTGACGAAAATCTGCTCGTAGATGCTAACGGCGGCAGAGCTCTGGTTTAGGGCTTTGATGATTTCGTGAAGAACAATAGAAAAGTGATGATACGAATTTTTGATAATTATTATAAAACTACCTACGAAAGCGCTTTTAAAAGCGCTTTCTAAAGATCACCTATAACAACGCTTTTTAATGTAAAAGCGCTTTCGTAGCATATCCTATAGCAGCGCTTTTTAAAAGCGCTTTCTAAAGGTCAGCTTTAGCAGCGCTTTGTAAAAGCGCTTTTTAAGGCTAACCTTTAGCAGCGCTTTTGAAAAGTGCTTTCTTAAGGTATCCTCTGAAAGGCACCCTTTAGCAGCGCTTCTCAAAAAAGCGCTTTCTAAGGGTGACCTTTAGCAGCGCTTTTGAAAAGCGCTTTCTTAAGACAGATTTTGAAAGCGCTTTTTTTAAGCGAATTTTTTTTAAAACCTACAGCAGCGCTTTTTTCTAAAAGCCCTTTCGTATGTGTGCTGCTAAAACTTATTTTTGGCGTAGTGAATATAATTGAATATATAATCCTAATTGGTTCACCATATTAAATTGTGCATCACTCTATTTTCATATTCAACTTTCTCTTAATGCTCGAGCAAATTACGGTGTTATACACTTAATGATGGTTTTATCAACTTGATTGCAAATTAAAACCTTCTTTGTGTACACACTATCCTTTTAATTTATACCTACCATAAATATTAAACATCTTCCTCTTATATTCTATATTTTAAGAAATTATACGTATATGTTTTAAATTATATATGTATATTTTTATAATATTAGTAAAATATTGATTTATTTATTTTTTTAATTTTTTTCTTATACCATTAATAAAAATATTTTCTACAAAATAATTCATAACTTCTCTTTTTCACACAATATTAGTTATATATTTTTAATTTATATAAAATTAACAAATTAGTGTATAATTTGAGATATAAAAAGTAGTAATTTTCATTTTTACTATAAATACTCATTTAAGACTCTTGGATACCCCACAGAGAAATTACTATAAATAAAGCCACCGAAGCAGGTCGGAAATGAAAAAATATTCCAGGGCGCATGTCCCGCGGTTAGATTTAATTATCAAATTGCAATATTTGAACATTTTAAATTTTATTTATTGGCTCATAAAATAACTTTTGAAATTTGAATGCCTAACATGTTCCCCAAATTAATCCCAACAATTAAATTATCATTATTTTATATTACCTTCCTTCCTTTAGTATAATTTTATGACTGTTTTCATTCAATTTACTTACCCCAAATGAAGTTTAATTTTAAAGGGATTGCCCTTTAAAAACCCCTCTATTTTCCCTTCCCATTCAGTCTTGTCAACCCAATAATACCTTCTTTTTTTACCTGTTTCTTACTTCATCATTTCATTTCACAGTTCTATTTTATTTTACTAACATGTATAAGTTGAGAATACGCGTAGAGAAAAACGGTTTCAGTTTCACACCAAGCTGAAACTGAAACCCTCTCTTTCTCTTCGGTTGTTCTGGACAAGATTCTTCATTCCATCGACGAAGAAGATAGAAAAAATTCCGATATGAAATTCTACACAGAAACAACAGTTAACAGAATGACCAAAATCAATGCTAAATGCGTTAGATTCGATGGAGAAGAACCCAATCTTGGCTTAAAAATACGTCGTGATCTTGATCGTGGTCAAGATGTTATGTTCTTCAGTTCCACTTCAAGCTCTTCAGATTCAAGCTCTGGATTATTATCATCTTCCTCCGATACAGAATCAAATGTACAGATGGAAATCACCAAATATGCCAGTGAAAATAATCGTTCCTCCAGAGACAAGCATTCGAGAGACGAAGAAATATTCATCAAACCAAAATCAAGAGCGATGAAGCTTTACACCAATCTCAAAAAGATGAAGCAACCAATCTCACCAGGTGGAAAACTCGCAAGTTTTCTCACCTCGCTCTTCATAAACACGAAGAAAACAAAAACTGTTTCCTCTTATGAAGATATGAATGCAGAGAGAAAAGTTAAATCTGGAGAATCTTCCACTTGTTCTTCAGCTTCTTCGTTTTCGCGTTCTTGTTTGAGTAAAAACTCATCTACGTCAAGAGATAAAAGAACAGTACGTTTTTGTCCGGTGAGTGTGATTGTTGACGAAGATAATCGAGTTTGCGGTAACAAATGTTTGCATGGAGGAGCAGATTCAGGTCTAATGGCATTGTCTGTGTCAACTGCATGGAAAATTGGACGAACAGCGAGTGAGAAGAAAAAAGAAGAAGAGGTTTTGAATATGAACAAGAGAGTGGATGATGTTTTAAGAGAGTTTCATCTTAATCAGAAGCTTTTGAGAGATTTTTCTAGTAGAAAAAATAACAAGGATGAAGATAATGATGTGGCAAGTAGTTCAAGTTCAGATCTTTTCGAGCTCGATCACTTAGGTTTTATTGGAAATGATAGGTATTATTATGAGGATTTGCCTGTGTTTGAAACTACTCATGTTCGTTCTAATCGTGCAATCCGTATGATGTAATTCTAATTTTAATTAATAGAACCTTAGTTATTTTGTCAATTTCTTCGGTCGTTCTTCATAGTCATTAATAATCATAATAATTCATTGTTTTGTTTGGTTACCAAATAATCACTATTTATGTGAAATTCTATAGTAAGGGAGGCATGTGTACCTGATTTCTATTAAACTTCACACTAAAATCTCTATGAACAAAATCATGCCAAGTAAAAGTATTAGACCAATATTTTCAAGCCTATTTGCATAATGGTTTCCCTCCCTAAATATATGGGAAGCCAAAAAGGACATAGATTTAATAATGTTATTGACATTCAACCATCTATTTCTTAGCCTTCAAGGAACAATTAAAGGCCACAGTGACTAACATAGAATCTGACTCAAGCCATAAATGATTCTAATTCTTATGTTTGGCAATTTTAATTGCAACATAGCTCCAGACAATTAGGCCATGATTGCATTGCCAGCACCTAGAGACATGACAAAGACTATGGAGGCCTCATTCGTATTACATTTCCAGTGAATTTTCATATTCACAAACCTGTTATGTTCCTAGTTAGCCAAATAGTGTTGACCATGATTTGTTCAATAGGACCCAAAAATCTCCAATGCAATTTAGGATGTTAACATTCAGAAATTCATAAACCCATGCACCACAAATGAATGACATATAGCAAGTGAAGAAAACGTGGCGGGATGAGTCTGATTGCTTGTAACACAAGTTATAAATAGAGGGGGTAGTGTACACATGTGATCTCAAGGTTTTCATAATTTGTTGTGTATCATTCTCCAAAGAAGAAGGAATTTGAAATGAGGGTCATTACAAAAAAAAAACTCTAAGTTATCAGTTGAAAAATACTTCGCAAATGCAAATATCATTCTATAACGTAATTTTTGTGGGATAGACCAAACAACATGCAAAAACGCTAGTCACAACATGTTGCAAGGAGAAGGACACGTCGCTAGTTAGTCAGATGTATTTCACTTCGCAACCTTGTCAGGTGAAATTCATCTCACAACCACTTTTCTAGAGTTCAAAGCAGAGAACGCGTGTCAGAGCAGAGCAGGATGGTTTCGGAGCAGAACAACCAGAAAGTTGCGAGATGAATTTCACCTGAAAAATTTTGAATAAAAAAAAATGCTGAGTGAATTTCTCCTGACAATTTTTTTGAATAATATAATAAAAAAATATGATATAATTATATTATTTTAAATATTAATAATACTGTTTTAATATATTTTAAATAACCATTTTTGAAACAACAAGATAAAAATATTATATATACATTTTTAACACTATATATATATATATATATATATATATATATATATATATATATATATATATATATATATATATATATATATATATATATATATATATATATATATATATATATATATATATATATATATATATATATATATATATAACTTTTTAACAACCTATGTATTTTACACAAACACAAACAAATATATGTATTTAAACAATCACAAAAATCTAACAAAACAAATAATGTTAAGATACCACAACACAATATTGGTGAAATTTTTTTAAAATTAATGTATACCTTAAAAAAATGGAGAACAAAAAATGAATAACTAAAGAGTTTTGTTCTAAATCTTGTTCCAATCTTTGAACTTGAAATAAATATAGCTTCTAAATGATTTTTAAAGTAATATTTAGTGAAAATTGGAGTTGAAATGAAGAGAAATAGAGGGAGAGCATATGAGAGAGTTGAGAGAGTGAGGAGAGAAATTATGCAAAAGTGAAGGTGAGGAGAAGATAAAGTAATATTAGGAGAATGAAAGTTGTTAGTAGTAATTACATAAAAATAATTTTTGTATTTACTTGTTTTGTGACACTTTGGGAAACCCTCAAAATTTATTGTAATTGATGTAGTAGTATAAAGAATTTTTAATTAATTAAAGAATTATAATATCTTATAAATATTGTGTTAGGTTAGACTAACTTAAATCAGATTCTGTTAAAATATTTTAAACTTATTAATTTAATTTATTATCAATATATTTAGAAGAACTAATTAAAAATAACACTAATTTCCAATTTTTTAAATATATTATTGTAAAATAAATTTTAACAATATATTTTTCTGCAAAACAAGATAAAACTACTAATAATTATATAATTATATGATATTTTTTAGCCTAAAAACTTAATAATAAATAACTTAATTATATAATAAATTTTTAAATATTTAATTACAAAAAATAAATATCATCTAAAATTAATATATATATATATATATATATATATATATATATATATATATATATATATATATATATATATATATATATATATATATATATATATATATATATATATATATATATATATATATATATAGGTACAAATTTTTAACCCTCAAGAAGTCATCATGAGTTAGATTTGAATTCTCAAATCCAGATTTTTAAACGACTCTAAATTGAATAGTAGATATAGTATGAGATGTGTCTACCTCCTCGACAAACTTTGCCCCTCATCATCTTGGCCCATTGATCATTAGAATTAAAAAGATCACCACAAAGTTTCAAATTAGAGTTCTCATTAAGAGTTTGAACAAAACTTATAGCCAACACTCCCTCTGAAAAAGGTTCACAACACTTCTTCTAAGCAACAGTCACCAATAACCATTAGATTAAAGAGAAAATTACACTCACATCTCTCGAGCTTTAGTTTTAAAGTATACATTAATTTCTCAGAGATCTATTAAAATAACATTGAAATCTCTTCTATTTTTTAGTGACAGGCAAAAACTGTAGGTATAAATTACATTTATCTTTGGATTTTTTGTCTGTCACTAAAACATTATGTTTGTTGCACCCCAAAATTCGCCCTCTTCATTTTAACCTTAATTGGCTTATACATCATCATCATCATCATATGCATACATACATGTCATTGGGTCTATACTCATGGAATCAAGGCATTTCTCTACAAGAAAGAGTTGCGAAATTTGACTGTTCCGTTAAGCAGCATTGTGAAACAAACTCGGGGTTTTCAGATTTTTCAATCCACTCTACATGTGTTCCAAGTTATCTAATCATGACTTAATCAAGTCATCATCATATCAATCTCTCATGCATTCCAACACGCTTTGAATTGCACAAGAAATCAAGAGTTTCAATCAATTTAAGACAGTGCTGACAGAAATTCAGTATTGTGCGTTTCAAGCTTGAAAATTCATAACTTGAGACCGGAAAATGGTTTGGGAATGGTTCTAAAGTCTTTAGAACCGTCTTGAGATCTTATCCAATTCATCTGTTTAGGTCGAAGGCTAATTTTATGAGGAATATTTTCAAAAGCGCCAAATACCTGAAATCACATTATACAGTGGATTTGTTGGTTCGTCGGTTTTTGGATACTTAAAAATTTGTAACTTATGAACGGAAAATCATCTTTGAGTGGTTCTTGAAGCATTTTAACTGTCTTGTTATCTTATTCAATTTATGTGTTCGGCTTAGAAGTTGATTCATTAAGGAGGATCTCTGAATGTGCGAATACTTTGAAGATATACAGTGAAAATAGTGTGTTAACCCGTTGTTTATCGGATGTTCAAAAATTCATAACTTTCGTTAAGTTAGATATTTTTTAGTGGTTCTTTGGTCGAAAAATCCATCTTGATTTTATCTTCAATTCGTATGTTCGGGTCAGAAGTTAATTCTTTGCAGAAAATCTCCAAAAGTGCGAATTACCTGAGAAAATTGCACCCCAAAATGGTTTTCTACCAGATTGTTTCTTGATATTCTAAAAACCGTATGTCTCTAAACTTTTATCATATCGGGACGATTCTTGAAGCATGAGATCACAAATTTTGTTAGCTACAACTTTGCTTCAGATCCCGAGTTCGGATTGCGCTTCAAAGGCTTCGGTTCATGGCTCGCTTCCTAAAGTGCGCCTGAAAATAAGTTGAAATTTTCAAGACAGCAAAATAAGTCCACTGTTTCTCTCCATTCGAAAAATTATAACTCTCTAAATTTTTATCGTATCGGGGCGATTCTATCGGCATGACGTCACAAATTTTATCGCTGACGATTTTGTTTCAGGTTGTGCGTCAGGATTTTGCACCGAAAGACATGAGCTTGTGGTTTGTTCATGAAGAGTACACAAAATAAGCTGAAAAATCTGCACTGTGAATTTTAAATACCGAGTTCTCGCTGCTCAGAGTATCGTAACTTACTCAATTTTTATCATAACAGGGCGATTCTTTCGGCGCCGCGTCACAAATTTCGTCATCAATGATATTGATTCAAGTTGTGCATCAGGATTATGCATCGAATTTCATGAGCTTGGGGGTTCGATCTGGACTGTACAAGAAATAAGCTGAAAATTCAGCTTTGGAGCCATTTCTATATAAGTTTGAATTTGAAATTTCACACAACTTTTCACTCATTATTTCAAATCTCACACAAATCAAACTCTATTATCTCTCAATTTTCTCTCTATTCTCTCAAGAACAAAATCAAGAACACATCAAGAACTCAAGAACATTCATCAAGATCTTCATCTTTCTCCGATCGTCGAGCAACCGCGCGCCACTACTCTCCGGCGCACCTCTGTCTCTTATGAAGACTCCCTTCGTCGCACCTTGCTTCTTCGTGCGAACTCCATCCTTTTCTGTTTGAATCCGTCGATCATCATTCATCCTCTCCAGTATTCTTTCGGTAATTGTTCTTGATCTCTTGATTTACGTGCTTTTGGAATTAATTGATTTTAGGATAAGTGCTTATTTGAGTTCATGAGTTGAATATTATTTGAACTCTTGAGATAAGTGTTTAATTGATGAAATATTGAATTGAATTGAGTTTTGGTTGAATTGAATTCTTGAACATTATTTGAGATGCTTGATTCTTAAATTGATAATGATGTTGAGATGTGGAATTGGTTGAATTGATGATTTAATCAGTTTAGATCTTGATTTTAATCGGTAAAACTAATGTTGATTTTGAATACCAAATTTTGGATCTAAATGTTTGATTAT